TTTCGAGCTAGCAGGTCGCAGAGAAACAACTTCCTTAGCCAAATCGATATCGTGATTTAAGTGCCATCTGAACATCTGTTTGAAAACAAAGTAAATTGAACCTTTAAAAGTCTTAGAAATTCGACTGTGCATAAAAATTGTGAATGAAAATAAGCTTTCAAGTTATTCTAAACGCATACCATATCACTGGAATGCAGATTTCATTCATGGTTTTAGCATTTTAGCACATTACAAACGTAGCGCCATCTTTCCTTTTTGAGAAGTTCCATGTATACACGAGAAATCTTATTTTTAGCAAGTGGCAAGGCTTTATTTAGTTCAAAAATCCACCTCTTTGAGGAGAAAGATTCTATGCTTTCAATTAACGAAACTGTATTTTGTTTAAACTCGTAAAAATACGAGAAAAACTTACCCGTTTCTTCTCCATTGTACCCGTTGGAACTTTCCGTGTAGTTGGCACTTTACAGCGTGAAAACGCGTACCGCTTCCCGGGTAAACTCGATGACGTCATCATTTAACTAATTCAAAATGGCGATACCCGTACCCGTGTCCTGAAATCGTTGTATCTTAAGCTCTCTAATAAGTCCTAAAGCACCAATTATCACAGGTATTGTACTTGTTTTCAAGCCCCACATTCTTTCGACTTCGATTTCAAGGTCTTTATATTTTGAGAGTTTTTCGGTTGTTTTTATTGAGATGTTTTTCTCTGTGGGAACAGACATGTCTATTAGCAAACATGTTTTACTTTCTTTGTCTTTCACAACAATATCTGGACGGTTGGCTGTTATTTCTCTGTCAGTATGTATCCCCATATCCCATAGTATTGTAACTTGATCGTTTTCAGTCACAGTTGATGGTTCGTGTTTATAGTATCGCTCATCGGCTGTCGTCCCAGCGGTAGTGCGTGGCACTTATTTCTTCAAATTCCAGTTGACCCTGGAGATTACAATTTGCTTGGGTATCACTGGAACGATAGTCTGTATTTTGACGTTGTGTTGCCAATGGGCCTACGTATGGCAGCTATGGCATGCCAACGAGTGACGTCCGCCATCAGTCACATATGCGGCTCAGCTGGCTATGACGTGATGAATTATCTGGACGACTTCATTGGTGTTTCGGATCCGCATGACGGCAAAGCCGGTTTCGAGTTTTGTGGCGAGTTGATAGCACAGCTTGGATTGGAAGAATCAGCGGGCAAAGCTGTCGCTCCTTGTTCAAATGTCACTTGTTTGGGAGCAAACTTTGATACCGTTGATATGACAATGGCTGTAACCACCGAACGCTTGCACGAATTGGATTCCCTGTTGGATCAGTGGCTAGACAAACGGATCGTCACTAAGAGACAGTTGCAATCTCTTATTGGGAAGTTGTGTTTTGTCACCAAGTGTGTGAGACAGAGTCGTCTTTTCTTGTCTCGGTTGCTGGACTTATTACGACGTGTGCGTCGAAATCATCACCGTGTACGACTTAATAGTGAATTTCGCCGAGATCTAATGTGGCGGAAACGTTTTCTACGCGAATATAACGGCGTGTCTATGATCGGTGAGATACACTGGTCTGCTCCCGATGTAGTTTTTTCTACAGACGCTTGTTTGACAGGATGTGGATGATTGTCGTCAACTGAATTCTTTCATGCAGTTTTTCCTGATTTTGTTCTACATGACTTTCCTTACATTCATCATCGCGAGCTTGTTGCTATAGTGATCGCAGTTTGCCTGTGGGGTTCCTCATCGGCGGGTCAGCGAATTCAAGTTTTCTGTGATAATGAGGCAGTGGTACACGCTCTTAACTCTGGTCGGGTAAAGGACCCTGTGTTAGCTAGAGGATTGCATGAGCTTTGTTTTCATCTCTCTGTTTATGAGTGCGAGTTGATTAGCACAGCTAATCGTTCTGCAGATTTATTGTCACGTTGGCACTTAGAGGAGGGAAAGAACGCACGTGAATTTTGAATGAGTAACACCGCTGCTGCATTAACTGATCGACATGTTACGCTGGATCTGTTCTCTTTTCATGACTTTCTGTATTCTGTTCTCAGAGGAGGAGTTGCTGCTGATACGACACAAGCTCAAGTCTACACGGCGAGCTGCCTACGCTGCAGGAACTCATAAAATTCACCTGACTCACTGGAGAACCTATTTATCCTTTTGTCATTACTTTAAATTCGAGGCTATGCCAGCCTCTCTTGATACAATTTGTTTGTATTGTCAATATCTTAGTAATTTCCTTATACCTGCGTCAGTTTGCAACTATTTAAGTGGGGTGAAAGCGCTACACATTTTGGGGGGTTTTGTTTTTGCTCATTCTAAGTCTCCCGGGCTCCGTCTTACGTTACGAGGCCTTGATCGGCTAGCCCAGCATTGTCCCCAAAAAGCTCTGCCTGCCACTCCACTTATCTTGTATAAAATTATTCAGGTTAGTGATTTATCTAAAGTAGAAGACTTAGTTTTTACGACCGCCTTTCTGTTTGCAGTTTTCCTTTTTGCGCGCATTTCAAATATTGTACCACATTCAGCTAAGTCATTTGATCCTAGTAAGAATCTTTGTAGAGGAGATATATAAGTCACAGAGTTTAGTCTTTCTGTGACTTTTCGATGGACCAAGACTATACAGTTTGGCCAGCGTAAGCTAGTTATCCCTTTGTTAAAGAACCCAGAGTGTGTTTTATGTCCAGTGCAAGCCTATCTTCGTATGTGTAAACGTATACCCGCTGGGCCCACCTCTCCAGCATTTGTGCTCCCAGGTGGAGGGAGGCTCCCACTATCACCCCTCATAAAGTGTCAGTTTATTAAGTTCTTTCGAGATAGGTTAGCCTTAGCCGGGATTATAGATCATCATCTTTACCGRGGTCACTCATTTCGCAGGGGGGGGGGACTTCATGGGCATTTAATGTGGGTGTTCCGGGGGAACTGATTCAAATATTTGGTGATTGGTCCTCAGATGCCTACAAAGGATATTTAGACCTGTCTCTTGATTCAAAGATTTTGCTGGCTGAGCGTATTAAAGCTTCTCTACAGCCTTTTGTTGCTAGTTAGCTTAGCAGCCAAGAAGTTCGGTTTTGGGGGCTGCTTGGTGGCCAGAGAGGTTTATTGTATTGCTTATTGTTAGATATTTGTATTTGTTGTTTGATTAAACCTCTCTCTGTACCCAAAACCGATTGTCTTGTCTTTACAGTAATTATGTACATATTTGTTATGGTTTGTTCTTATCTAGTAATATCAGGCCTTTTAGGAGAATTAACATTTATATTTAAGTGTTTACATACTTTCCAATGAATATATTTGGCTGCTTTCTTATGTCGACGGATATATTGTCTTAGCAAGCTCTGGGCACCCCGATACAATGTGGTCTATCGTTTCAAGTTGTTGATTACAAATTCTACATAGAGGACAAGTACCATCTTTTGGGATTTTGTTTTTATAATAGTTTGTTGCAATGCACTGATCTTGAGCAGCAATTATAAAGCCTTCAGTTTGGGATTTTAATCCAGAGGTTTTGAGCCATTTGTTTGTCTGAAGGTGATCAACATCATTATCATTAAGGCGTTTTGGATACTTTCCATGAAGTGGTTTTTCTTCCCAGGAATTCTTGAGCTGTTCTTCAGAATAATGTTTTGCTTTTATTTTGGTTCTCCGGGCATAGATAGTGGTTGGTTCATTCGCTGTTTTCGGTATCTCTTGTAGATTGAGACCCCTCTTGAACCTTGTCGCTTCATGGTGAATGGAAAATAATTTCTTTGCCTTGTCATGGTCAATCGCTATTTGCAGTAGATTGTCTTGCTTGTCGCTAAGATAAGTATCAAGGCCAATCGTGGTTGTCTTGTAAGAGGCCTCAATTTGAATAAGACCTCTACCACCTGATGTTCTTGGCAAGTACAGTCTATCCACGTCAGCCTTAGGGTGGTGCATTTTTTCCATTGTCAAAAGCTTTCTTGTCTTTCTATCCAGTCGCTTGAGTTCTTCTATTTTCCAGTTGATGATATTGAAGCTGTAAGTGACAACTGGGACTGCTAAGGTGTTTATTGCGCTTATTTTATTGATAGCATTTAGTTCTGACTTAAGAACTAGACGTATCCTTCTATAATACTCTTTGCGAATCTTTTCCTTCATCATTGAGTGTTGAAGTCCATCTCCTTCATTAACACCAAGGTATTTATAGGTGTCCTCTTGGTCAAGATCTTTGATGGTCGTTTGTAAATCAAGTTCGATGTTTTCAGCACTTATTAACTTNTGGACAAAACACAACGTCGCTATATTATAAGAAAAATGATCAATCTTGTTATTAGAACAACCTACTATATTTTCTGTTGTAGAAATAAGACATGGGATAGCCCTGAATTATTGAAATACTCAATTTTTTTAATGTTTGTTTGTTTTAGTTTGATTTCAGTATTTGTAAATTCATTTATATACATTATATATTTTTTTTATCAATTCAAGTAGCCAGTTGTAAATTGCCTATACGTAGTGAGATTTTCAACTGTATGAATCTATAAACAAATAAAGTTTCCATTATTATTATTATTATTATTTCATGTCATCCATAACATACAATCAACAGGTTCAACAAGCTGGGCATCACAAAGTGTGAGCTGATCAATCAATTTACAGATATAAGATTTGAGGCTATTGCTGCCTGTATTGGAATTATAAGGATATTCAATAACACTGTCCTACATCTTATTATAGTGCCGTCTCCATACCAAGAAGATAGTAAGTATAAACACTATAGAGTAATGAATTGTATATTTAACCTGATGAAGAGTTAATGAGGTCTTTCTTATATTCCAGCTTATGACATGAGAAGACATTTATAAGCTGATTCTATGCAGAACATACAATGTATTTCCTTATTGTTACATCTAGACAGGACATGTTATCGCTGCCATTATATTAATGTCTTCCCCTCCTTCATTCCTATCGGTTGGTAATAGTCCAATGTCATTTAAACCTCGTGGAAAACCACATGACGTGTTTTATAACTTATTTTAGACACCAAGAAAAAATGCTACTTGTGTGGGGGGGAGGGGCACACACGTTGGAGAGAGAGAGGAAGTTCGTGGTAAGAGAATGTATATTCATCCTTTATGAATTCAAATGAAACTTTATTATACTGACAAATATGTTTTTTTTTTTTCAGCTTCAAGGATTGTGAGACGACTTGGAAAGGGTGTGTGTTTCATTAGTTTTAAATAAAAAATAGGAACTGCGTAGAAATTCTAAAGATTTCATGACAACTTCTACCCAGTATAATAATATACTAATAATAATATATAATATAATAATAGAGGATATTGAATGGTGTCTGTGTGATAAATTTTCAGATAATACAAAAGTCATATTGGTTAGCTACAATCTATGCCACACAATGGATTTTATGTCTATTTCTTACTTTTTTTATAAATTACATCTCAAAGGAATCTTCACTTTTTTTTTAAACAGTTTGCTATATGATATTTTTAAAACTTAATGAAACATATGCCCTTATTTTTACAGTGGTTATTGTATTTTATATACATTGTAATAAAGATTTTTGGCAGATTATTATTGATATATTATTTACAATGGACTGTTCTTTCATCCCTTGTACTGAACAAGACTGAATCTGCTTATCTTTTGGACAAATCACCTGAATGAACGTGATTTCAATATAAAAAATTACTATTTTATAACGAATACAAACCCTGATTTTTATTTCTTTATTACCTTACTTGTGAATAGTTGACATTAATGCTTGCTTTGTTTTAAGATTTTCTTCTTTTGGCACATTTGATTCATTGCACTTATTTGTTAAACTTTTGGAACATCTTTGAACCATCCTGATTACTGTAAGAGAACAACACTTGGATTGAACATAAATGAACAAATTGGACTTGCTTAAATGATATAAACGGTCTCATAAATTTATCATATGATAACCAAATGAAATGAATACGCACTTAAATAACATTGATGAGATAAACATCGATGGTTACTGTACAATCAGCAACATGCATATCTTCTCAAATGCTCTCCCTGCATGTGCAAATGACTTTGAAACCTTTCTGATAGTTGCATTTATAACATCAGATATTGCTATGTATATACTAAGTGCAAATGTCCACACTAGACAAAGGTATGTAATTCTAGAATTGATGCCTTGCTGTCAAGTGTTCAATTGTGTCTTGGTTGTCTATCTTATTAGAATAAACATCGATGGTTACTGTACAATCAGCAAAATGCATATCTTCTCAAATGCTCTCCCTGCATGTGCAAATGACTTTGAAACCTTTCTGATAGTTCTATTTATATCATCAGATATTGTTATGTATATATTAAGTGCAGATGTCCACACTAGACAAAGGTATGTCCACATTAGGCAAATCTGTTGACCTGACCAAAACAGGTCATGAGGTTCTTACAGAGACTGCCTCTTAAATGCTCTGGTTCCTCGTCCGTGAAGTTTTTACACTTTCTTTGGAATCTTTTTCTCGCCACCATTTTGAATTTGCAATACTACCTCCACCACAGTGACCCCACGGTCTCCCGCACAGTAGCAAAATTTGCTCGTTTTTCTCTACGATTGTTGTAGGATTTTGAAAGTTTGAAAACTCTACAACTTTTTTCTTGTTGGATACGACTGACTTGCGTGAATTGTAGTGTATATCTACATGACACAGCTTGTGCCATGTAGGGATGACCTGAGCAGGTCACATGCAATGGTTGTAGGAAAAAGTTGTATCGTCTAAACCGTCCTTAAGAGTTCAAACTAATATTATTGAAATTTATGTTCTTAAAAGATTTCTCTAAAGGAGTTTAATAGCATGCAACAATAATTTTGCTTCTGAAAAATGTTGTTTAAATTAAAATTATTAATTTCTAAATAAGTGGATGCGTCATCAAGTTTCAGATGACCTTCGTAAGTAAACCAATTTGTAGGTACAAGAAGCCAACCTCAATTTTAATCACCTTTAGTAAAAATGTCAGTCACTGTTTGAATTGGTGCAATGAATTGTTTGTTTTATTCAGATATGTTGATGTGTAAAAATGGTGTCCTGATTTGTTTTGGAGTTGATAGTATCATGTATGATTGAAGTTGAAGTGAATGTGTAGTTGATAAAATCTAAATTAAAATTTGGCTTATTTTAATACTTTAAAATGTGTTGTAAAATTCTTGAATGTTGATCAGAATAAGGCTAACTCATTTGGATAAAAATTAGATTTAAAAAAATTGGAGTTTTTTTGTTTTCCTGCGAGTAGGCAATACATCAGGGGGTGAGGGACTGTAAGATGGTGTTGTCACTACGAATGTGTGTTAAGTACAGTAACAGTTGATCGTGTCCAAAGGTATATTCTCCATGATTGTCTGATTTAAGAAATTTAATAATTACATCAAAATTGCATTAGATTTAGGACACTTTATTACATGTTTTGGTCGAATGGATAAATCACGTTATATATTACCAATTAGAAGCTGACATGAATGATTACAGTGAAAGTGCAGAAAGTGCAAAAGTGTGAGAGAATTGGCGCAAAACAGGCAGCAATAGCTGTTTTAGACAGAGAAAGACATCAAACACCATACAGAGAAATTGCACGAAAATACAAGATATCAAAATCATCAGCCCACCGACTCTATAAGCACAGAAATGACATTTTATTGCCAAAGAAAGTTGTCTGCAAGAAGAAAAGGGGACGCAAACCAACATTAACAGAGATGTTAGACAGATGCAACGTGCAGTAACAAGAATGATAGCTGGTAACTTTAATATGACAGTCATGTCGATTGTGAGAGGCTGGCATTGACACCAATAAGGTACAYCGCCATACGTTTTCTCGATATTTAAACATTATGGGTTATAGATATTTGCAATCAAGAAAGAAGGGATTGCTTACAGCAAAAGACAAAAAGCTCCGTTTAAATTACCCAAAGGAAATAAAAGGCATACTCAAGGACTTTCCAACTTTCTACGAACAACATATAGCCTTTTATATAGATGGAGTGTCATTGGTACACAAATACAACCCACTTGAAGATGCTTCAAAGCCAAAAGCGCGTTTGGCGCAAGCCAGGTGAAGGTCTCAAGATAACTGCTAAAGGTTCTAAGAATATGTCATTTGCCATAGCGTATGGCAAAGGTGTGATAGTAGTACAATAGTATGAAAAATGAATGGAACTGTCTTTGCTGACTTTGTAAAGAACAATTTTAAGTTAATGTTTGGCAAAGCAGGGCTAAAACACAACGCAATGAGGCTTTTCCTCATGGATAATGACCCTTGTCAAAATAGTTATAAAGTATTATCAGAAGTCCTCAAAATCGAAGCTGAAATGCATAAAATTCCCGCTAGATCTCCAGATCTAAATCCTATCGAAAATATATTTCATAATGTTAAAAAAGAACTTGAAAATCAAGCACTGCATGCGAAAATTACTCACGAAACGGGAGAGTTTTCTTGGTCTTGAATATAAGCACAATAGATAAAACTATAGAAAGTATGCCTCAACGAATCGACATGATTATCAAACATCGTGGAGATGAATCAAATATTAATACTTTATTCAGTATAATAAGTGAAAACCGGATATTTGTACGAAGTTACTTTGAATACAAACAATAATCGGAATCGTTATAATTAATTAGTTTTTCGCTGAATCACCATACTGTCTCTTGTTTATTTACTTGTTGTATTATTTTTGGGCTTCATGTGCCCCATAAGTCTTGGCGAGAGTTCAACATGGCCGGCATGCCGGCATGGCAATCTTGTTTTCTGTATTAGTTTGTATTCGAGTCTTTAACCCAAAAAGATGTAAGTAACATAATGTTTTGTAGCTTTAATTTTCCGTACACGCTTATTTAACATTACTATAAACTTGTATAGGTTTTACCGCGTCAATAAAACGAGTTACCATCGATTTCATGTCAAAGACTCAGTACAGTATTTACACAATGTATTGGATTATGTCAATAACGTACATGCGAAGAACAGTCCTCACAACAGTACTCTTATAACAAACGGGTAAAAATCATTAATTTCAAAGCAAAGTTTGGAAACATGTCTGTATTTCGAAGACTCTAAGTATCTGCTACCTATGTTGAATGAATTTGAAATCTTATTACATAAAACTCAGTAGTAATTGACAGTACTCACCAAATCCTTCAAAAATCAAAACATTCCATATATTTAAACATGGCGAATGGCTGTACTGTATAAAAATTTCGTTTAAAGTGGTGGCATATTAAGAAAACCAAACATAACGATACCTATTAAGTCCTAGGTAGGTAGTACCCCGCTCCCGGGATATCTGGTAAATGGCCAAACGATTGAGACACATCAAGAACAGTTTTAAAAATATCTAAAATTTAAACCCTTTTTGGGAAGATTTTTGCTGTAAATTACACACCAACAGCCAATAATGTCAATGTTTGAGGATCTATCACATTTTCAAAACCGGCTAGCCAAACGAATTTATTTCATTTTATCAAAGAATAACATTTCATTTTACTGTGATAGGAATATTACATCCATGCAACAATCCACTTTTGAGGAATAAGTTTTGGAAGATAGGCATATTTTTGTCGATTTCAAAATCTCAAAAACAGTACTTCTATAAATTTTAATTTCTCTGTTTCAAAAATATGTTAGAGTACGTCTTTCATCTGAAGTGGTACATCAGATATGTCAATGTCTAGATGCCTAAGGATTACAGTATTAGTTAATTTTCTACAGAGATGGAAGGTCTGGAATATTGGCAAAATCTATTATGAATAATCTCGAAAATGGTCAAGTTAAGCTCAAAAATTGAATCCCCTATAACTTTGCGAGAATAAGTCTATTTTTAAAATAATTTGCACATTAAAGTTGCATTAATAAGACTAACAAATGGTGGGAATTTGAAGGAAATCTGTTGACCTGACCAAAACAGGTCATGAGGTTCTTACAGAGACTGCCTCTTAATTAGTATAAGGACCAAAGAGAAGATGTCTTTCAATTGTAGGCAAAAAGACAAATTAAAAAAAAAAAACACAAGGAGTGCTGCAGTTCAGCAAATTTTTGTGAAAGTTTGAACAATTAGTCGCGTGCAATTTAGGCGGTTGGTAGGCAAATTATTGTAGCCGTCTAATTCTGACTTACCATTGTGTCGTTGGGATGGTGCGAGCAGTGGGAATCACAAAACACCGAGTTGGAGTCCGAGTCCGAGTTAGAGTTAGACCCGAGTTAGAATCGAGTTAGACCCGAGTTAGAGTCCGAGTTACAATCGAGTTAGAGGCTCTGGTTACTGACAGGTTTTACCAATAAATCATTAACTGAGCCACGTGAGTTCATTATTCGCCGCTAAACTTCGCATGATGTCTTCAAGCGACGAAGAAGCAATCTTTCGAAATCCAACGTTTGGGCATGCCATCGCTGACAATAAAACAGTGTAAGTACTTGTATACATAGTTAACGTGATATATACGCAATTGTTACTGCAGTAATGGTTTTTTTATCGCTTGGCTTGCCTCTATTGTGTATAATTTCATGCCAGATTAGCCAATTTATTAACTTGAATCCTTTGTAACATTGGTATCATTTCATTCAATCTCCAGAGGAAATGATGAGTGCATTGTTATTTCGTCCCCGCAAGGTGTACATGAAGGACATGAAAGGGGAGTTACGAACGTTTAGTCTTTGGTATCATGTCATGTCAAATGTCAAGTAATTAATCGAAATTAACGCGGACTTAAATCATTGACAATAGGTCAGGGAATCAAAGCAGTTTAAGTCGAGGGGGAAATTTATATATTTATACAACCCTTGAATATGATTAAAGTTTCCAAATTAAGCATACCTGTATAATAATAGTTATGTCTAAAAAGGACAACATTGCCAACGGTTAGATTAGCGATCGTAGTTTTGCCGGAATACAAAGTTGAATGTTGGCTTAGAAATCGTTGAACATTATCAGTAACAATATATCACAATCTATGGTAATAAAGGATATCATTGATATCCATGCATCCCAATTGCATGTGAATAGCGTTAGTTGTGTTTGCACATATAAAGTTGATCAAGACACTAATTATTGACTTATGCGTTCGCTTTTGTTAGTGGCTGAAAAATTATTTCTGAAATTATTTCTAAAACGAAATCCAAACAAGTATACTAACTGTATAATAACTTTTGATGATCAATCTTGTGAATTGCTTTTTATAGGTTGGGAAGTGCGACACATATGTTTATCTGAATCTCCAGTGAGAATTTCTCCCCCTTAAAAAAGGTATTTGAATGATTTAAGGGCTACTGCATAGCATGACTATTTGTGATATTTTGTATCGTTATAACACAGAATCTCGAATGATATTACACTTTTTTTTAATATATAGCTATTTTTTATAAACAGAATTTTTAGAGGTATATGCCTCGATGATTGTGACGCACCAGAGATAAAGCAAGAAAGGTAAAACTATGATATGTACTATTTGTGTGACATGACAAACAGACTGTCAGAATGTAATAAT